ACAGCACTGGATTTCACTTACAAAGTTGCGGCAATACTTTCGAACGTTAATGTTGATGCGGCGGTTGGCTCGTTAATGGGGGAAAGCTGGGGTAGGTAAGGTAAGGTAGCTAGTGACCTTTCCTAGAACATTGCGTAGTGGCAATTGTATGGAGTAGATTTATTAGACGAGCCAAAAAGAATGGCAAGCACCAAGCAGATGATCAGACGTCGATCTGGATGGATTGATGATGAGGAAATTGGTTGAGGAGGAGGGGGTAACGGGGGAGGTAGATCAAGGTGAGGTGGAAGGTCGCCGAGGACTGGATGCTCCACGATGTTCACTTTGAATTTCTGCTGGGGGGGCCAGACCAGGAACCTAGGTACTTCCAGAAGGGTCTGAGAGGTCGAGCAATGGAATTGAGCCGAACCCCTTAGCGCGTCAGCCACTGCCATTGGCAACGCTGTGGGTTCTGTTCGCTGCCAGTTGGGATGGGAGGCAGTCACGTGCAGCACGTGCTGTGGCGCTTCGGAAGGGGGTTGAAGCTTAGGATTCACGGAAGTGGGTGATGAACATGATGGCCCGTCCCAAGCTTTCTGCACCAAAGTCTGTCTTTCATGTTCCAGCATGCAAAGAGATGCGGGATATGACCATAAAGATATGGCCAAACGTACACAACCGAGGTCCACAATGAAAAATGTGGATGGCCTAGATACGAGAGTACCCTGCTGAAGATGTCAACTGAACCAGACATCCTAGACAAGGAATGACACTATCTTCTATTAGCAACTGTGCTTTTCCTACTGCCGCCGAAACACCTTCTTTGTCACGGAACATGCGTGTCGCGTCACTCCTCTTTGCAGTATTGGAGTAGAGGCAGGTGGCCCCTCGGGGTCGTGCACAGTCACACAGTCAGTCTACAGGTATCGAATGTACAACATGTACCTCACCTCCTCTAACATGCTTCAAAATCCGAGAGAGGGCTCTCAATGTATGACACCTCACAAAAGGGACCCAAGAATATTTGAAGTCCTGTTTTGAACTTGGGCAAAATGTTTCAATTGGTTCACTAGCTGGTTCAAGAACCTACAATAGCTGGCCCATCAGTCTCCGAGTCCATGTTACAAAATGTGTACAATACCTTGTCGGCTGACACCAGATCTTGTTCGAGACTGCATCTCGCGATACATATCAAACATGCCCCCTTTTGGCGGGTGAGATTGCCGCCCGGCGCCTGCCCGCCCCCGCCTCGGATGGATTCTGAGCCTATGAAACCAATGATCCAAGAAACGGGCCGGAACGAGCGTTGCACGACCTGTCACACAGCTCGGTGCTACTGACAACCGGATCCAGGACGGTATTGCCGTTATTTCAGTCACTTGCGAAAGTGTATGTAGGTATGTATGTGAGGACCTTCGTCTCTTGTGGAGCAACCACGAGGTATTGCCTCCGAAGCTGCAACGGCGATCGACCCCACGATTCGTGTTGGGTCTAGGTGCTCCCGTAGAGCGGTACCAGTCTACCTATACAAACGTATTGGGCCAGGTTTCGCTGCATCCTGCAGGAACGCTTTCGATCGTGACAGGCTGCGCGACGGTCCAAATGCACCTAGACAACATCGGCCAGGCCTAGACACGCGATGCCATGGCATGAGATCTAGCACAACGCATCCACTGCGTGACGTTCAGATAAGAACCGCCTCAGTCTATCATGAGATGTGCGGCTTGTTGGGCTAGCCAGCAAGACGGTAGACACTCGAGGGGGCATGATGGCGAGCGCGCGCATTAGCAAAAGAAAAAGAGAGATACCACGACGTTGCCAGTACGGGATGGGACTGGGGATATCGGATGGTTCGGTGCGCCGCGCTTGCTCAAACCAACAGGGTGACGTACGTGTGCTGCGCAGTCCTCTCTGCCCTGTCGAGACATGCAAAGCCGGCAGCATCCGATGTTTGATTGGAATGGGCCAATACACTCATTCGTCGCGGGCATGGTGCAACACGAGATAATACGGGCCAGGCGTCTATAGACTGAGGGTGGCAATTCGATACGACTGGAAGGAAAGGGGGGAAGCAGGGCAGGATCTCGTAAATGGACAGCTTCGCCTCGGAGGCGATGAGCTGTCGGAGCTTACCCGCACCACACATGATTCCGAAGTGCAGGGCATAGCATGGAGATTCGGGCTTCGGCGCATGGCAGGGCGTGATACCGATGCGTCATGTTCTTTTCTGGGCCCTGAATATTCCAAACTTCGTCCATCTCCCGGGCCATCAGTGGATTGACATGTTGTCCTCATGCGATCGAAAATGGGAGGTGGGGGCGCAATGATGCCATGGCAGGTCGCCCTCTGGATTTCTTGGTAGGATCCTCGTCGGTCAATTGGGACTTTGCTGGGGGCACACGGGTGGGCTTTTTTCCCAGTCACAGTGCAGGGCGACCAGGCGGCCAAGCGGCACGAGAGCACTGCTGCACCGATGTAACTCGTCATCTACAAGTGTATACATGTACATATATGCCGGTACACGATTAATGAGCGATTCTTCCACACATTGAAAAAAAAATGACGATCATCGAAGAGGTCCACATGTCGCCCCTCATTCATATTAAAAGCGTATGCCCAAGATGCCATACTCAAGGTGAAATACCCCTTGCCTATGGGGGGCGGCCGTTAACTCCCGTTGATCTTTCGACTTTCGCTTCCAGGTGGTAAGTTGACGACTCGATCGACTTCATCAGGCAGTTTGACTGGGAACCGTGTGGGCTTGGTAGGCCACCGACTGCGTGTATGAATTGTGCGCACTTCAGAGTGGGATCAAGGCAGACACAGTACATAAACAGTGTGGAGCTCACTTCCAGGCACTAAGGCGCATTGGCATTGGCCTGTGCTTGTCAAGCTCCTTCCGTGATGTCTGGATTAGATGCATCTTTCGGCAGCTGAGACCGCGAATGACGAAAGACGCCATGTTTTCTGTCGCCCGTCAAGTTGCTGTCGCATGCCTTAGCTCTCATGGCTTCATATATGTCCTTGACCGAGTCCTGATGTATGCATGCAAGCAACTACATTGTTTTTCTGAGCTTCTAGCGGGTGGTTTTTGTGACAGACGGGCCGCGTTGGTCGGCGGTCCAGAAGACCAAAGCTCCCATTCTGATCTCCATTTCCCATCGCATGAACCACGCTACCGTCAGCGCCTGCACCACCATGCGCAACCCTTCCACTTGACCCAGAAAAAGTGGTACCTCGGAAGCAAGCTAAGTGAAATGCCTACCTTGCCTAGGCACCTACCTTACCTAAGGTGGTACCTACCTAGGTAGGCATGGAGGACCAAACTGACTGACTGCACAATTCCACTATCACCTGCACGAAACGGGAGGACACGATCAAGACTTGGTATGTACACCATCTTTTTGAGACATTGAAGCAAATCGCTGTGAAGGCAAATCTTGTCACTAGTACTGCACTGTATCATGGCTTCGAACCGATAGCCACTCAGTCCACTGGGCTTCTAGGTAGGTAGCTGGACAGGGTACCTGACCACTGTCACCAACCTAAAATGGAAGGCTGCTGCAAGTAAAGGCCAGAACGTGGGAAGAGTGAAGGCCAGAGACTGCGCGCTAGATCAATGCGTTTGACTCTTTACCTGCCGTGTGTCCAGTCGGTTGCACAAAAGGAAATCTCTGAAATTTCATCGTCCTGCCCTTCACTGGGTTCCAGCGAGTGTGTGTGTGAGAGTGAGAGAGAGAGAGTGTGAGTTTCTTCAAATAGGTAGGTAGGTAGGTAGGTACCTGCTCCCGGGCCCCCCTCCAAGCAAGCCCAGCCAACAAAAGCTCTTGTCATCCAACAGGTTCAGCACCAGGGTCGGGCGCCCACACTTGATAGCACCACGCCCATTCCCCGCCCACCGACTGGGGCACTGACGAAACAGCACACGGTGCGGAGAGCCGCCGGATTGACCCCAAGGTCCCTTCCCCCCCACCTCCCCTCCATCCCCCCTTCCCTCTAGGCTCTAGCTCGCCATCATCCAATCCCATTCCCACCAGTGAGTGAATAGGCCAGAAAGGCACCAAGGACTGACTTGTCTTCCGGGCAACGAGACGTTAGGATTCATCGGTTTGACCAAGGTACTTTTTTCTTCTCCCCCCTTTCCTCTCTCTCGTTCTCTCTCCATCATCTCTATCTCCCCAAATATCTTAATGGAGTTCCTTGCTACCCAGTCATCTCGCAAACAAGCCCCGGCCAAGCGACACCCCTACCCATTCTTTCTTCTCGTCTCACACCAGAAAAGCGAAGTGAAGCACGCCAGGACAGGCCCTTGATACTTGCACCCACTACTTGCACAGACTTGCAGCAAAGCCGAAATAGTCCCAGGCCCGTTTGAGCAAAACCGACATTAACATAGCAGCTCCCCCTCGGTCCCGCCCGCCTACACCCTAGTACCAAAACATAGCAACACCCTACCCACCCCCCCTCTCTAGCTCCTCGCTCCAGCACCTTCCGCGGCTTCTGCCCGCCCCTCGCGCCGTCATCCCACTACCCTGGATTGCAACTCGGCGAGACAAGCCCGCAACAACCTGACACGACCGACCGATTGACGAGACTTGCGACCCCCAGCGACAAGCGACCGTCGACCGGCGCCGACTACTAAGCGGCCCCCTCTCAGCGACCCAGGGACCAGAGGACCCATTGCTGCCAGCACATCGCCCCCCCAAGCCATCTGATTGCTTGTTTCTGGGCGCCTCTCCATACAGTATCGAGCTACCGACTACACATACACCCACATTGAAACCAAAACCGAAAGACAGAGCCTGTCATTGTTACTGCACTGGCTGTGCGTTTGCTTGTGCTTGTGCCTCTGCGCCTGCTGCACTGCTCGCTCCCCTACCAATCTTCTCCCGCCTCCCCGCTTCTCTCTCTCTCTCGTTCACGCCCCCCCCCCATAACACACCACTAAAAGGAGTCTGCGCTTTCTTTTCTTTGTTTCTGCGCGAGACTTGTCGGCTGTTACCTCCCCCCCCCCATCCACCATGGACGGCCAAAGCCAACTCTCCAACGCCAACTCTCAGCGTCGCAGACTTGTCAAAAAACCACCCTCCGGTCACCAATATACCCGATCCTCGGGTGGCCTAGATGGTGGCATTGACGCCCTGTCTCTCCAGAGCCAACGTAGCTCCACGAGTCTGAAGCGAGCTCCCAGCGCTCCACCCCCAAGGTCGACCCCTCCGAACGCGTCCAACAGCTCCTCCCCTCGTCACCTACCCTCCGCCCAGTTCTCGAACCCGTCACCCATACTACCCCAGGGTCAATTTACACCGAATTCCTATTACAACCCTGCCGCCGCTCGTCATAACGATCGCTCGTCTGATCCAAACGATCGCATCCCCCGGGAATCCGACGAGTTCATCGGCGCCCCGTTTGACGGCGCTGCTATCCTAAACCGCATCGAACAGACCAAGTCCCCGGGCGGACAGCACGCCCACGCCTTCCATCGGCCTCACGTCCCCCCGCCTCTTATCAAGTCTAAGACAGATATCCGCGGCATGAGCCCGGCCCTCCGACAATCAGCAAGCTTCACCTCGGCCGATCCCATCATGTCCGAGAAGCTGCAGGCAAGTCGGGCGATGGACCAACAAGTCGTCACTCCCAAAAGGTTCTCAGACGAAGCAAAGGAGCCCAGGGTGGGCGTCCTTCGCAAAAAGTCGGGCTTCTCTGGTTTTGTCAACAGTCTCGTTGGGTCTCAGAAGAAACCCATCATCTCCGCCCCCGAAAATCCCGTCCATGTCACACATGTGGGCTATGATAGCACAACGGGGCAGTTCACTGTGCGTCACCACCTGTGCCTTGTACCCGCTGAGCTGGCGATGTTAACAGTATGCAGGGTCTCCCGAAGGAATGGCAGCGACTCATCAACGAGAGTGGCATCCCCGAAAAGGAGAGGCGAGAGAACCCCCAAACTATGGTGGATATCCTCAACTTCTACAAGGAGACGACAGAAAGACCGCCCGAAGACCAGGTCCTGGACAAATTCCACGATGCGCGTGCCCCAGCATACGGCCAATACGCCGCCAGTCCCGGCCCGGGAAGTGCATTGTCGCCAGCCGCGTATCCGACAGCGAATTATATGGGTATGTCACCGCCGAATTCTCCTCTTCCAAGTCCTAGATTTCCAACTGTCAACCATGAAGGATCCTTCGAAAACCCCAGGCAGCCGCCTCCCGTACCCAGTCGCGGGCTCGGTCCGGGCAAGGACGTCAACATGATGCCTAGCCGGCCTGCACCGAGGCCACCGGTGAGCTTAACGTCGCGCGTTGCAACCCAAGCACCGCAGGCAGCCAAGGACTCAGGCATCGGCATGGCCCAGGCGGCAGAGGACCTACCGGCCGCCGCCTACGTTCCTCCCAAAGAACACACCTCCATGCTGCCCGAGGAGCACCGATCGAGATCACGATCAAACTCCAAGATCAATGGGAATTCGCCGCTCATGCCCTCCACGCCGCAGCCACAGGGGCTTGCATCTCCGCCACCATCAGCGCAAGCCATGGCGTACCAGCAGCAGCTACTGCAACAACAGCAGGAGCAGGCCTTGGCTCAGGCGCAAGCTGCCATGTCTGGCCAGATTGGACGTGCCCCTAGCAAACGACAACCTCCGAGTCTCCAGCAGCCCATCCAGAGCCCCCAAGCCGCTCAACAGCAATATCCTCAAGCCGCTGGCGTACCTGGCCCTCAGGGTCAACAGCGCTCGAACGTCGGCGTTCCTGGCCAGCCAGGCTCAAGACCGCGCCACCGAGCCCGACCCAGCAACGGTATTGATATTGTGGCCGCCCTCAAGCGCATCTGTACCGATGGGGACCCGCGCGAGGTGTACCGCAGTCTTAACAAGATTGGCCAGGGCGCTTCTGGTGGTGTCTTTACCGGACATGAGCGCGGTACGAACCGCCTTGTCGCCATCAAGCAGATGAACTTGGAACAACAGCCCAAGAAGGATCTAATCATTAACGAGATTTTGGTCATGAAGGAAAGCTCGCATCCCAACATCGTCAACTTCATCGACAGCTATCTTGCCGGCGGCGAACTTTGGGTTGTCATGGAATATATGGAGGGAGGAAGTTTGACCGATGTTGTTACGTTCAACATGATGACGGAGGGACAGATCGCCTCGGTGTGCAGGGAGACGCTGAAGGGTCTACAACACCTGCACTCAAAGGGCGTTATCCACCGTGACATCAAGTCGGACAACATACTCCTCTCCCTCGAGGGCAACATTAAGCTGAGTAAGTTTTGAATTTCGTCGCCAGGATCTTTCATGTACTCATTTTCTACAGCTGATTTCGGTTTCTGCGCCACTATCAATGAAGCTCAGAACAAGCGGACAACCATGGTCGGCACTCCTTACTGGATGGCTCCCGAGGTCGTCACCAGGAAGGAGTACGGACGCAAGGTCGACATTTGGTCGCTCGGCATCATGGCCATTGAAATGATTGAAGGCGAGCCTCCGTATCTGACAGAGTCACCCTTGCGTGCACTCTGGCTGATCGCCACCAACGGCACGCCCGCCATCAAGGACGAGAGGGATCTCTCACCTCTCTTCCGGGACTTTCTCTACTTCGCTCTCAAAGTTGACCCGGAAAAGAGAGCCAGTGCCCACGATCTCCTGAGGGTAAGTTTCTCCACATAATTACCCTGCTGCATTTCCGCAGATTTTTCATGTCATCGTGGCTAATGGTTTCCAGCATGACTTCATGAAGCAGTGCGTTGACCTCGCACAGCTTTCTCCTCTTGTGCGTGCCGCGCGTGAAGCACGACAGCAAGAGAAAGCAAGGAAAGCCAACTAGAAGCAGCCTTTTGTGCCACAAACCCCAGCTCCCCTACGACGGGTCCCACAGAACGCGGTTTGGAATACTTCCAAATTATCACGCGCTACTTTTTGGAAAAGCTCTCGAGCCTCCGAAATTGCAAGGGAATCCCGCTAGTATGGCACACCACCTCGCACCCATTTCTCGTTCACCCAAAGTATACTAAAAGTATACGGCATACTTGCCAACAATGCTCCACTCGACGTTTGCGAATTTTCGACGCCCTGTCACATCTCCGACACGGTGACTTTGCATAGCGAGTGCGTTGGGCCGATGCTGGTCCACTATTCCTGTCAGGCAGCTTTCAGCAAGTCTGCATGGCTGTTCTTTCTACCTCTTTTGACTTTCGACGCGTTTGATGAGTACGCACCGCAGCGATTTGTGACAGGCGCATAGCTCGCCCAGTTTTCTCTGTTTTTTCACCGAAAGCACAGCATGCAGGCGACAGGGCATCACCCCATTCTGACTTGGCGGCTTGTCTGAGTTCCTGGATGTGTATGTGGCAGTCATCCAACCGTTTTGGGTAGGACGATGTTGGAGGCCACGGCTCTGGGGACTTTTCCTGTTGGCATGAGAGGTCGCCGAAGAGACGGCGAGAAACAACCTGCGACGACGAGAAGAGACGACAATCAGCAATATTGTGACTTTTCGCTGTGGGTGAACGAGACACGCCAAGGTCCACAACCCACCCCCTCCCGCCTCTTCTGCTCGTGACAGCGCGCCATGTCTGGCTGCTTAGGTCTCTTTATTTTTGAGATGGAGCTTGTCTCTGCTGATACCACCGGCAACCCATGTGTTTGATCCCCACTTTGTACGGAAATGAAGCAAAATTGGCATTGAATCACATGCCACGTTTGGTGGGGGCCGGGGAACTATCTTGGCTTCGCCTCTTGGAGTGTTGGGTTTATGGATGGATAGATGGACTCCCATTTCGATAGCTGTCTCTCCTCGTAGAAGGAAATGAGATGCTTTACTGCTGACTTCAGGCAGCGACGAAGTTTCCCGAAATCTACTGTGATTGCCAGGGCCTGTGTACCTGACTTGATGTGCCCGCATATTAATCGCAATCAAGATCGGTGGGACCTTTCTTCTGTGTGACTGAGCCTCATCGCTTAGTAAACTCAGCGCAACGGACGAGAATATCCCCGTGGCACGATTCAAGGAGCTGTGAGGCTGCCGCTGTGGACGGACAACGGCCCTCATCAGATGGAGTATCTTGTAGACCTGGAAGCTGACGCATGGTACCTGGCTCTGGCACACCGGGCTTCCTAAAAACTCAAGGTTGGACAACGTATGAGGTGTGAGGAACGATTTCACTGCCTGCCCGGTCTTTGAAGTCCCTGCCTTTGACGAGGGTCACTGGTATCGGAAATGGAGCCTTGTAGAGAGCGGGTTTGTGTATGTATCGGCCAGGCGAAGCTCAAACGTCACATCTTACAGCCAGAGTTCTCAGCGTGTGCTTCTTCGATCTTGTTCTTCCCGGATAAATAGCCCCCTACACTGCTATGGAGGGGGTCATGGTTCAAGGATACTGACCAGAAGGTAGCGGGGCGCACGTGAGGCTTGACAACGGTGCCGGAAGCTCGGTGTGAATTGCCCTCGCACGATATAGGGTAGGAGAGCTCAATACTTTGTTCGTTGGATTCAACTTTGTTAAGAAGCATCAAATGTTTTGACCTCGGCTCCGTGCAGAGACAGACCTCTCTCTGCATGCAGTGTGCTGACGCCATCCTTGTATGCGCCACGGCAAATTCAGTTGTGGCCTCGTAGAGCACGTTAGCTGTCTTCGTTCTCGGAGAGAATCGTGACGATGCTGTGTAAGACAGGGACATGAATCCATTCCGTCTTGATCCGAAGAGGCATGGCAAGAAGTCGGTCTGATCAGGCCCCCGAGGCTTCTGGCCTCTGGGGACTCCTGCTTAGTGTTCAGCTGGCGAAACGTATCAATGCAAGACCCGTTACACGTTAAACTACGACGAATGCCACTGGAGAGATGCAGTTCCATGCCCAGCGCGAGGATTGTGCTTCCAGGTTGTAAGTAAACCTGCACATGGAAATGTATGGTGGCGCATCATGCCGTGCGTGTGTGCTGTGCATTGCCTTTTGGAATCTCAAGTCTATTTCTGTACCTTCGCGCCTGGACCCTCGAGACTTGTAAGTGGATGACTCGGAGGTTTGAGCAAGACCGCTGCCGATATTCACATATACACGAACAGTGCGTCTGTGTTGTGAGTTGCGGCTCTCACGCCTTGATATCGTGAACTTTGTCTCTTTCAAGCTCGTCTTGGAACATGTCATCCGCCCTGGAGACTCTCAAGCCTGCAGCAACAGGCCAGTCTCCCAATAAGCTGGTCCCGGCTTACGAGTCAGGCGCAATCGACCCTCAGTCTCCCCAAGGGCTGCCGTGGCCGCCGACCACCAACGTACACACAGGTCAGGAGATCAATCAGAGGTACGCCAAGTCAACAATGCTAGAACGTTGAGTTGAGGTATCTCCGATATTGATCACGACTTGGATACAACAGAGGGAGATCATCAGCTCTTCGCAAGACGCAGAATCATCATTGTCGAACCCAGCACTACAATCGAGGTTTTGGCCATATTGTTTGTAGTCGGGCTACTATGACAAGCTGACGGAGCGAACCCGACGAGTTTAGTGGACGCTCGGTTCACTTACATCTTCCGCTATAATTATACGAAAAGAATCAAGACAAACACATGAGACTGAACAACGCAGGATGTTATGACAGACCATGACCGATCTGGTAGTGAGTATTAAGAACGCTAATGCGGCCCAATCGGCTTCTTTTTATATCAACGAGTCAAAAAAAAAACCACTGTGATTCCGAGCTTGTTCCCAAAGCTCCAACCTGTAACGCCTGAACCAATTCTAGGGTATATCCGAAACCAAGCTTTCTATCCGCCAGAATGTTTCTATCCAGAGGAGAGCGACCTTAGTAGCAGGAGTAGCCGCCGTCAATGAGGACGTTGGAGCCGGTCATGAAGCCGGAGGCGTCGGAGGCGAGGAAGACGCAGAGGCCGTTGAGGTCGTCGACGGCGCCGAGGCGGTCCTGGGGGGTGAGGGAGCGCCAGATCTTCTTCTGGCCCTCGAGGGTGGGAACACGGTTGAGGGCCGTGTCCATGTAACCGGGGGAAATGCAGTTGACGCGGATGTTGTGCTTGGCCCACTCAGCGGCGATGGACTTGCCGAACTGGACGACGCCGGCCTTGGAGGCGTTGTAGCAGGACTGCTCCTGGGGGTAGTTGACAATGGTGCCGGACATGGAGGCGACGAGGACGATGGAGCCCGGCTTGCCGTGGGCGATCATCTTCTTGCCGACGGCCTGCGACATGAGGAAGGTACCAGTAAGGTTGATGTCAATCAGGCGCCTGAACATGGAGCTGTCGTACTCCTCAGCCTTGATGTTGGAGCTGCGGTCATACGGTTAGCAAGCGGGTCCAGGCCTCAGGATTTGTGGAGTGCTGAGAGCACAGGGGGGGATGACGTACTCAGCAATGCCAGCAGAGTTGACCAGGACGTCGGGGCATCCGTAAAGCTCAACGACGCGGTCAACAGCGGCGTTGATAGCGTCGCCATCACGAACGTCGACCTTGAGGAAGGTGACGGGAATCTTGGTCTTCTGGTAGAGCTCGTTGGCAGACTCCTTGCCGAGCTCCTCGTTGGCGTCGAAGAGGACGAGAGCCTTGGCACCGGCCTCAGCGCAAGCACGGGCCATGTGGTTACCGAGACCACGGGCACCACTGCAACGAAGTTAGCGAGCGAACAAGGGAAGGAATGCAAGCGAAAGCAGTGTGCATATGCGGTCCGCAATGGATCAAAGACATAGACATGCCAATCCCAAGGGCGGGCCACATAGCTTGCTGCCAGGCAGGCACCATTTTTTTTTCTCTTCGTCGATGGAGCGGAACGTACCCAGTAATAATGATGACCTTGCCGTAAACGGTCATCTTCTGCATCATGGGCGTCATCTTCTCGTAAGCCTCGGCGGTGAGAGGAACGACCTCGGTGGGCTCAGCGGGCTCCTCCTTGACGGCCTGCTGGCCAGGGTTGACGGGGATCGAGGACTTGCCATCCTTGGTGGCGGGCCAGCTGACGATGGGAACCTCCTTCTCATGAACGGCGTTGGCCCTGAAGGCGGAGACGGTGAAGGGACGGGCGACGCGAGCAGCGGGCGCAGCAGCAGTGCGGGAGGTGAAAGCGCGTGCAAGAGCACGGGTAGCAGAGCGGTGGGCGGCCATTGCGAATGTGATGATGATGAAAGAAGTCGGGAAGTTGCGAGTAATGCGAGGGTCGACTTTTGATTTGAGTGCTCAAAGAAAAAAAAATCTTTTGAGGCGGAGAGCTGGTGGTGCGAGTGGGTTGTAAGGGGGCGAAAGGCCTCCAAAGAAAAGTCGTCTAGAGGGAAGGTGCGAGAGGCGAATCGGCAGGAAACGTGATTATGACCGTCTTGGTATGAGAAAGACGATGGCTCTTCAATAGCGAACTCAAAACTGGCTGCGAGGGTCCCCGAGGTGAATGGGGAGGAAGATTTCTAGGTGGCTTCTTCTGCTTCTTCTGCTTCAACAACAAGTGGGCTTGAACCGTGAGATAGGGAAAGCGATGGGTATCAGGAAAACAACTGCGGCAAGCTGCGAGGATAGAGGCAAAAGATTGGTATGTGTGATGGACTGGCTTGATTGTCTGAAGATGAGAGGAGAAAGATGAGAGAGACGGGTCAGAGCATGTCTGACGGATCACCCCTTGGGCCTTTTATGTCTTGGGCATGTCCGTCCTCCTCTCCCCCCCCCCTTCCGCCTCATCCTCCTTTTTCTCAGTCCTGGCAAAATCTGAGCCCTGGTAAGTCTGAGGTACCTGACTTGGTTTCTCAGCTAGGTCCACGTCCCACGGCGTGGCCACGGGTCCCGTTCTGGAGCCTGGGTTCTGGGTCCTACCTAGGCTGGCTTGGGCCCAAGACGGTTTGGATGGAAAGGGGGGGGGGGGTGAAAACATGGGGGGGTGCGGCCGTGGGCCGGATGAGACGGAGCTAAACAGCAACCAGCGATGAGAAGACAATAGGAACGTGCCAGTCGTGGTGGCCGTGGCCGGCAGCGTATGTGTGTGTCACTACCATCAGTTGTGCCTGACTTCAGTCGCCCTGACAGGGAGGCTTGCTTGGGCCAGGGCTGGACCTGGGCTTGGGCGCTAGCATTACAGTGGCATAATCAATCTCATCTGGCGCCGCCCAACGGCAACGGCGTGGGTGCCACCGTCGGACTACCGTATTGGCTACCTTATACGTGCCGGGGCTGAGATTGAATCGTGGGAGCGGAGCGGAAGGGGGGAGGGGAGGAAGGGAGTGACGGGGGGGTCTAGGCAAGGCGGGCAAGCGGCAAAGGGCTACGCCAGCGGCGAAGGCGAAGGCAAAAAAAAAAAGTTGGGACTAGAGGACCAAGTGGGCGTGGGATGGGGGGCGACTCCAGAATGCCGTCACCGAAAGGGGCTCTTTCAAATAATGGGGACAGATTTTTGCAGTTTTCCAGATCTACGTCTGCAAACCAAAAGCGTTGCGCCTTGCCCTCTTGTTGCTCGTTATGCTTGCATTGCAACCTGGATGAGCTTTACGAGGCCATGAGAGCTCGTGTGACTCGACTTGCCCTCGTCCGACTCAACAGAATAGGTACTTGGGCTTTGGGGGGTGGTGAGTAGAGGGGGGAGAAGAAATGGCTACCGCTCGCGGAGCGCAGAGGGTGGGCATGCCAGCGAGCCTGCTCCAGCTCCAGGGGACTTACAGGGGGAGCTTCGCCTGTGGAGTCTCGCCATGATAGCTGCGTTCGAAGAGGGGCAGAGGCCACCTCACCACACCATGCACCTGCACCTGCACGCACGTCCGCTGCATCGAAGCTTCCTGGCGCTTTCCCGCTGTTCTTGCTGCTCAACACCAAACAGCCATGACGCATGTCAGTCGAGATGCCCCAGAATTTCCAAGAAAAAAGCCCTTCTTTGCCGGTCGACAACTACAGCTACGTCTATCATCTCCACCCTGACGACGGCCTCGCAATCTATTTCTCTGCCATGGCTCTGGTGCATAGCACACGGTTCGAGGTGGGGAGGTCAGGCAAGCCCTGATGCTGCCAAGTCGGCCCTCTTCTTATCTCGCCATTCTTGCAACTTGTGACTGAACCCACCTGCTTGTCGTCACCTCGCTCCTCTCCTACTGCAGCACACCAAGCTTGCAGCACACACCAGACGTTTCCACTCAAGCCAGTCAAACAATGTACCGAAACCCGTTTCGCAACCGGCCGTTGGAGTGCGTGCCGATCAATCAACTTTCCGTTCACCAGTGGTGGTCTGACCGTCGCACCGTTGCTCGCCTTTCCACCCTGCCTACCCTTCTGACCTCTGCTCCTCCGTTGCCGGACATTACATTGCGGCGGGACATGGCCAGATCGCCAGACCAAACTCACCAGCATCAGCTTGTCCGGGGAGCCTTTGACGCCCCGGACCGGGGCTGGCAGAAGCAATAGAAGCTACCGTCCACGGCAGTGCTCCCCGCGACAAGGGGCCACGAGCAAAGCTACCCCTGCGCAACTCGACCATCACGGGACCCAAGACCGTGGGATGGTCGTCCTCCTCGGATCTCTTCACGACACATCTGGCTTCGAAACGGTGGGCCAGAGCCTTCCACAGAAGCTTGTCTGTGCGCGTGGCGGCCAAGCGAGATGCGCCAAGAGTACCGGCCCCCGGGAGTCGCTCCTAAATTTGGTTTCTAGCGTATCGGCTTGCCCCGATGCCAGGCTTGGAGCTTAGACGCGCCAAGCCAGCAAGGGTCTGCCGGCTGACACTTGGATCAGCATTTCGAGTTTTTTTTGCCTGTGGGGGGACAGGGCCTCTTTTTGGGGGGGAGGGAATGGAGGGGAGGCCAGGGGGGTTCAGTCCTCTTCCCCCCCCCCTTCGCCTCCTACTACACCCAAAATATCTTTCAAAGTGTGAATACTATGGGAGAACTATTGCGTCTCATGCTTAAGGCCGACACTCCGATGCGCCGAATCTCCGGAGCGGTGAGAAACCCTTTTCTGGTGCCTCGGAGGGTTTGCATGGCTCAGCGTCAATGAGGTTCTCCAGACGCCGGCGGGCTGCCTGGAAATCTGATGTCGAGCAGGGCGCCTTGGCTTGTCTCAAGAAACAATTCCGCATCGGATGAGAAAGAATCCCCCTAGTCCACAGCATCCCTTTGGGCGTCTTCCGTGGAACATACAGGGTCTTTCCTCCCTGTGATCGCTGCGCCTCGAATCTGTTGACGAGTCGCCTGTACGAGGACGTGAATCTCCGTATGGTATATCAGGATCTGACCTGAAGCCACTCCCGAAATTGCCAGCACAGATGGCCACGAGGCTCATGGCAAATGGAGGGTGGAAATTGGCGAGATCGGAGCCGACTCCCACTCGAACGAAACAGCCTGTGTGGCATGCGGGGGTCACACACCAGGGAAACAGGTGTCATCCCACGTCTCCTTGCCAACAACGAAACGCAATGACAACTCCAAACCCCCCAACTCCCATCTTTCAGGACTTCAGCACATACGAATGCACCCTCGATGCCAACTTCGAAATCCCTTGCCCCATCAGGCCCCCCTGTCAACCCATTATTTAAGGCCCAGCACCAGCGGTCAGTTGACCGCACGCGCACGCACCACTAGGCGAATGCAACGCGGCCCGCGACTGGCACATCATGCTGGAGTTCATCATCGAAACACGAAGGGGGGGGGGGACGGTGAGCGAGCAATCACCGAGCCACCCGCCCCGCCGCCGAGGCCACCGTTCACTCACCTTTGTCGTCTTTTGATATGCCTTCATACCACACTAGACGCATGGTCAACGCGGTCCGCTCGAGACACGACTGCAAAAGTTCATGTTGGCGCCTACCCTGGCCTGCCTAGCTTCACCAAATCAATTCCTACGTCGGTGCGTGGGGTTTCCGGCAACAGCCCCGGACACGGGGATCTCTTTGCGGCACGGAATATTGTGACGACAGATCAAAGATCTATCAGATGATACTTGACCTCCCCTATGACATGAAGTTTGTCCACACCGACAACGACTTCTCTGTCATGAAAACGGGACCGCACGCGCGTTCACGCCAATCCCTGGCATGCCGTTTCTTCGCATTTGGCCATGGCATCAGCCAGCGCTCTACGCGAAACTCAACAGCCATGCTACATGTAACAACATCCCAACGCTCAGACTTCCCCATCTTGGAAGGACGACTCCCGTCTCGGGCAAATCTCGCCAACCCGCACGCCCAATGTCGCCTAGATCCTGGCCTAGCATTCCAGTGAGGTGCACCGTCTTTTCAACAGAGGTGGCTTGACCCCGGACCCGACAATGTCAGTTGTCTCATTTTCTTCGGTTGTCTCGAAACGATGAGATCTAGCTGCTGCTCTGGTCTATTTCTCATCTAGGCTGATCAGGCTGTCTCCTGCGCTGAACCGCCGATATCTCCATGGCCGCGGCTCAGCATCCCATTGCCTGGACCACAGCCTTCACCTATTTTTGTTTCTTTGTGCTTGTTTTGAGGGGTGGCTTTCGACCCCCCTAACATCAGTCTCGCCGTCCATGGACCTGCTGATTCTAGGCTGGCGTTGCCGTGGTCCTGAGCCTGGGCCTTAGCTGGCGACGGCCGCATGCAGTCTAGGCGGGTGCATGCATGTCGCCCCCATGCCATGTCATGTCGGTCAAGCGAACGCGGGATGCCACGCTTTCAAGCGCCCTGGCTCGCAGCAAGTGCTCACCGTTGCAGGCCCTTGACCGCTCTCGACATGGTACGTCTTCCACGCGTGCTCCAACGGCCAGCACCGTTTATTCTCGCCTCACTTCGTGAGCATGCCTAAGGTAAGGTACGTACTGCAGAACTTTCTCCCGAGGAGACCCCTTTTACTCGCCCGTTTGCGTCTCCCGTTACCTGTCCAGTGTGACGAAAGGTCTCGCTCTCCGAGCTTCGTCGGGAAATCCAAACACCATGGATGCTACTTTTCATGGTCCCCAAGCTCCTAGGTCGCTGCAATTTCAAGAGGCTCAACACCCCCGTCCCCCATGGCCTTCCCCACAAGCCTTCGCAATGTCAGTTCGTGGAGACCTCATTAAAGGCCTGAACCCCTTGAGCCCGAGCCCCGGTCGCGGTACATGTTCCCCGGCGACCCACACCTAGGCATCTTTTTCTTTGCCTCCTCTTCTCCTGGACTTTGCGATGTTAGGTGTGCAGC